GAACTATGAATATTATCAACAAGTTCTTCGAAATTCGGAAATTTTCATTTATAATGTTGTTTTTTTAATTTTTTGGTTCAACATTACAACATTTTTGACATTTATTTGCACCAACAGCTGGGCCGATGCGGCTACCTTATTACATATACCTTGTTTTAGTCAAAGGCAAAAATCGAAGAGTCTACCAAATCGACATTTGGTCCTGAGGCAAATATCGAAAAGTCTAAAAGACGATTTTTGCGCTCGACTAGATATCCCTAAGAGGTAATACCCTTTTTCATTATTTATATAATTTCCGACACGTTTTTCGAACAAATTGACTGTTATTTAATATAGATTCAAATTTTTGGTATATATTTATCCCCTTTATAATGTTTCAGTCAAATTTTCCAAGTGGGTTTGGAACTTCATTGCCAATAAATAACATTATTCCTATTGTGGAGGTTATAAAAACTTCGAGACGACACTTTTATTCTTCCTTTATCTCATCATATTTTTGGAAAACCAATAAAACATTTGTAAGTTCGGCACTATGTAAATATTTAAGCTCATGTAACCTATGCAAACGTTTGTCCAAATGCAAACACCGCACACACACATGCACATAAACATATCTGAGATTATTTTGGAAATGTTTGTATCACTTGGAGTAATGACAAATAAATGCCAATGCATCTGAACCTGTATGTACCTACCCGCCACCTTACCAGCCTACCTTTATGTTTACTAGAGGTGCATGTGTGTTTGGCTACATACATATGTACGTATGTACATGAACAACAAAGGACCATTTGTTGTATATACTTACATACAATTGTATGTAGATATATATACTCGATTGGTGTACATAAGAGGCATATAATCATATACTCTCAAAGCTAAGGAAATAATTAGAAAGATGTTGCATTGAATGGAATGAGTTTTTGGGGGAGAACAACAACAACAACATTTATATTAATTAAATTTTAATTTTTAATCGAAATTTTATAAGTTTCTTATTAAAATGTTATGTACATAAGTATGTATTATTTCGATGTTTGAGTGTGTATTTTTGAGATTTTTTGCTGTATTTTTTTAAATTTATATGAATATTTAATTATTTGATGGAATGCCAGTAGAAAAAAACCTATAAGAATAAATTGAGGATATTGGTGCAAATTTCATGGCTAAGTTGAATTTGCTAACGGATTACCACAACAATGAACAATGCCAGAAAACATCCTGGATATTAAGACAAAAGGATAATTGCGTTTAAAACCTGATGAAAAAACTGTAAAAATAAACTGATTCAAATTTAATGGCCAATTTGGCTTGAGTAACTGAGTACCACAACAATGAACTATGTCAGGAAACTTCCTGGTTATTCAGTGACACCAAAATTTGGTAATTTTTTTGAGTTCCCTTTGGGATGCCATCAGTGGTTTAAATGTCTTGTTTGGCTATTAAAAAATTACGACACTTTTATTCCTTGCTTTCCTTTTCAATTCCAGCGATTGAATTGCAGGATTGAACTGCAAGAATTCAATTTTCTTAGATAACGATTTAAAATTTAATTATTTTTCTAATCAAAATCCAAACGTATGTGTATACTTTTAAGTAGTCACCTGAGGTGTTTTAATACAAATCATCATGCATATGTAAAGGATTCTTACAAACGCATGCATACATATATACGTCTTTTCGGAAGTACAATAATTAAGGATAATTCCAATGGGTGGTGCTCGTATTACTCCATCCTTTGCAATAACCCTTATATAAATTAAACCCTTATACATGTGTACACACACGCAGAACAAATACAATCAGCCAGAAGATAATGAGATGCCAGTAGCCAGTATAGTTAGTGTATGGATATAAGAAAAGTACAAGCACTTATGAACACATACACACATTCGCATATACACACACACTTTAATGTACCAACTTTAAGTATAATTGCCCAATTGCATTTTACCAATAAAATGCATTATGATGACTCTTCTCCCTCCAAATGCATCGAATCGAACCAAAGAATTATTTCCCAAAAATTTAGTGAATACAGAAAATTCGATTTTGTTGGGGTTATGTTTAGTTCATTATATTTATTTTTTATATTTAAGTATAAAGCCATAGCCAATTGATATTTTAGACAAAGTTTTAAATTTCATGTCATGACATAGCCTCTTTCTAGTATCACTTCGAATGCAGTTGGCAAATCTCGAAATACTTATATGCATAAGGTACCTTACCTTCAGGTGAAGAATGACTTTATATGGTTCGTTATTTGGAGGTGCTAATTCCGTTTTGACGATAACGGAGTTATAGGCCCCAAAACTCGCTGACTGTCCGTGACTGCTTATTTGGGATTTACTCTCTCGGCAATCTGTGGACTCGTCCGAAAGAATTCAACTTTGGTTTCTCTATACTGAGAGCTAATTATATATCTTTAATGTGTTTACCCCAGACATGTAATCTTAGCAGAAAGTTCTGCCAGATTGATTTTGAGGTTCTGAACCAAGCTTTCTCATCTCGTAGCAGATCTTGCGGATATTCGTGAAATTCCTCTTGGGGAAAATCGGTTCAGATTTAGGTCCCATATATATACCGTATACCAAAGTCCCTATTTAACTTTCGATTTGCACGAAATTTCGCACAGCGTATTGAATAAGGTCTGGAATGATGTGTGTTAATTTTCATGAAAATCGGTTCAGATTTAGACATAGGTCCCATATATATTTTCGTCCGATTTAAGGAAAATGGTTCACCAAAGTCCCTATATAACTTTTGATTTGCGCGAAATTTCACACAGCGTATTGAATTAGGTCTAGAATGATGTGTGTTAAGTTTCGTGAAAATCGGTGCGGATTTAGATATAGCTCCCATATATATTTTCGCCCGATTTAATGTAAATGGTGTACCAAAGTCCCTATATACCTTTCGATTTGCACGAAATTTGGCACAGCGAAATGAATGAAGTATAGAATTATGTGTGTTAAGTTTCCTGAAAATCGGTTCAGATTTAGATAAAACTCCCATATATATTTTCGTCCGATTTAAAGTAAAAGGTGCACCAATTTCCCTATTCGCTTCGGTTTTAGATATAGCTCCCATATATATTTTCGTCCGATTTAATGTAAATGGTGCACCAAAGTCCCTATATATCATTCGATTTGTACGAAATTTCGCACAGCGTATTAAATTAGGTCTGGAATGATGTGTGTTAAATTTCGTATATATATTATCGTCTTATATATATTATGTAAATGGTGCACTAAAGACCCATAGCTAGGCCGATTGACACAACGTACTGAAATAAATATAATTTAATCTTGGGCAAGTTTCCTTGAAATCGATTCAGAGTTAGATATAATTTCGACCTATTCATGTTAACAAATTTTAGCATAGGTTGCAGAATGGCATGTGTAGGGAATGATGTTAGTCGATTTACATATAGAAATCAAAACCACATGTTTTAGTTTGTTCAATTTCATGTCAATGTTCCTCCAAAAAGGCGACGTCTGTTAGGCTACATATGTAGAATATACCCAACATTACAAATTTCCTTACAGGTTTTTTGTTTGCTGATTTTTCCAGATCCAAAAAGAAGTATTCTTCTGTCTGAAAAATCTCCGAACCGACCATTTCCCTCATTTATTCCAAACCTTTTTGGTCTTGAATAACATATGATTTTATTAATTCAATTCAAATCTCTTCAAAATGTTCCCATGTTTTCCGTTTTATTTATTCCAAAACCAAATAGTTGTGTATATGGACGGACATACACACAACTGCTTGTTATATAGATTTGGATATACATTTACCAATATGGACATTGAGTAAGGTACACGGACAAGTCTCATGTGCAAATTTTATTTAATATTATTCTCCTTATATGGACAAATCACAAACGCACCCATGTTCACCATAATCAAAGGAAACAATGTACACACACAAACACACTTATATTTGCAAGAGGTCAATGGCATTTCATGTGTAATTACAATGCAGGCAGGCAGGCAAGGCAGTACCAGGATGTGTTGTATATGTGCTTGACTAATTATTGGAAGACATTTAAGTATAGTAACTGGCAAAATTATCTTGGAATAATTTTGTACATCATTATATATAGTTGGAGTATGGGAGGATGGAAGGCTAACTCTAAACACCAGAGTGGGAGTTTGCTATTTTGTGATGTGATCTAAAGAAAACAATGTAAAGCTAATAGGAATTATAATAATAATGTTCATGGACTTGGAAGTATGGGTATATTGCATATCCTCTTCTTCCACACCATGTTTACATGAAACATATTGTTATTTACAAACTCTATTCATATTTATATAGAAAGCCGTTGTTAGCTTAATTGGTTAACTATTAGCTTTTATATAATTTAAAATAAAAGGTTAGAGCAAAGCCATAAAAGTATAAAGATACGAAAATTGTTACGTCAATAATTTCCATTAGATGGCTTTTCCTCCGTTGTTATGATATCATAACAGTAGAGCGAGTTGTATATTGTTACAACTTTTTAAGTGATATATCGCATGCTTATAAAGTTAAAACATTAATTTTGAGCGCAGATTTCTGATTTTATTCTTAACATGCCTCTATTATGCTTGAGTCCCTCTACATTTGTTTCCGTAAACTATTTTGTCAAAATGCAATTTGTCGAGTCTTTACGATTTTACGTCTTTGGTTAGATTTTTGAAGTTCTTTGAAATAATATATAATCCAAATCGTTTATAACGTCACCAATATATTGACATCCAGAATTCCCGAAGAAAGTTATTCACTTTATTTCATATTCCTCATTACTGCTACGGTTTATTGTGACCAATTTTGCAGGTCCTTTGGCCATCTTTATAAACGATGGTGACTGTAATTATGCTTATTAATGTGACTTCAATAAACTTAAGATCGAATAAGTATTAAGAATTCATTTTTCTTCTTCAAAAAGAATATAGTATACAATTTCCAAACAATATTCTAATCCATTCCTTTCCCTCTCTCCCTCTTTTCAGATATCATCAACGGATACTTTGTCGTTACGCATTTGCCACGCCTGCATAAGTTACCTAAATTCATGGCAATCATTTAAAAATCGTTGTTTATCTGCACAAAATAAACAACGTTCCTGGCTAGATGGTGGCTGTTCATCACCACAAAAGACAACAAAATCAAATGCTGAACAACAACAAGCAGTATCAGCAGATAATCAACAGCACAGCGATGAACAGCAACAACAACAACAGCAAAAGGATGAACAATCATTGGCCTCCTCCATATTGGAGGGTATATCAACGTTGAAAAAACGAAAATCATTAACAGTCTATGTGAGTCAAAAACACCAACAACAGGTGTCACAAAAAGATCCAACTTGTCAAGTTAAACATTCGCTACAAGATCAATCACCATTACCGCTTTTATCCACCACATCGCCAATAATCAAACATCCAGATCATCCAGCAGAAGTTATGGCTGCTGCTCAAACAACAACAACAGCAGCTGCTGCTGCTACATCTCTGAAGCCATTGCTTCAAACAACCAAACGTCGTTACACACGGCATAAACATTCTTCTCAACGCAAAGCAGTTGATACAGCAAATTTGCAACGTTCTCAATTTAAGCAAAAACAAATACATTCCTCCTTAACTGCTACTAATCCTTTAGTAGCAGCAACATCACTTTGTAGCAGCGCCCCAATTGCTGGTAGCAAATCGAAACAATCCAAATATGGCAAAAAACATGGACGACAACAACTGCAATCGTTTGTCATACCGGCAATTCCTTCCACAGCGTTGTCCTTAACTACCGCTATTGCTACGCCCGTCACAGCTACCGTTACTTCATGTTCAGCATCCAATATATCGGCCGCCACATCGGCCACTTGCTCCAGCGTAAGCCCTCTGGCTTCTGTCGCCAGTGACGTTACTTCTATAACGTCGGCTGTCGGTCTTGGTTTGGATGTTGATTGTTTGATTGCTGGTGGTGGTGGGACATCGGCGGCAACATCGTCGTCTGCATCTGCATCGGCTGCTTGTTCAAGCGCTGTCCAACAGTTACGTTTGTTTAGACGATACTCCTATAATGTAAAAGTATCGTACATAGCGTATCATGGCCTACAAAACAAAACAAAAACTAAATATTTAATTTTTACTTTTTATTTTGTATTTTGTAATATCTCTCTAGATACCTAGGAACGCAATGTTTTGGCTAAATATGTTTGGATGGATATTGTTTTGGTATTATACTATGCCAAAAGTTGAAATTCAAAATTTTGTTGAATACTTTTTGCTATGGAATTTGTTTTATGAAATGAAATTTTTTCAGTGCTCAGTTTGTTTTTTTACTTTTCTGAAGTACATTTTTCATTGGAGCTAGAGGACTGATAAGAAATATTATAATTTTGATAAAAAAATTGCCTCTTTAGGTATTATTTTCTTCTAAGAAGAACAACCGAAGAAAAAACATCGATGAACTTTTGATGAACTCCACACCAAAAGCTTTTAAAAATTCAATTTTTTTTTGACAAAAATTTCAAACTATCCGATATAAATGTGAGGTGGCATAATACCCTCCTAGCTAACAAGTGTTATGTGACCAAGTCCTCCTAAACAGTCTATTTATATTTTTAGAGAGGTTCAATGTATAGATTTTATTATTCAGAATGAAATTTAGAGCAGCCGCATTAGCGCTTCTGATAGTTCAAGTCATACAGAAGCTAACTTAAGACAAGGATATCAACGGTTTCACATCTAAAGAAGCATTGGAGAGAAAGTCATTTCGGAGGTTAATTTGCTATTAAGCTATAATTCTAACTTGAACAGTGGGAAGGAATTTCTTTGGATCAATGTGGAAGGAATTTCTTTGGTGGTAGTAGCCATCATTGACAAACCTGACTCCAATGGGCGGATCAGCTAGAATTATTGATAATTGACCGCCACCTGAAGATCTTTCTCACGATCGAGATTTATCAAACACGGCTACAATTTGCTGGGAATATCCTGCAAAATGGGGCCAACTATGTGTATAGGAAGTCTGCTGACCAGTGTTACCGCTGGGAATTTGAAAAAAGTTGCACAAAAGGTTGATCACTTGAAATACAGTCGCACAGAAATTTTACAAATCTTTTTAAATTGTATATAAATTTTTCTTTATCCCCTATAAGAAAATTCAATGGATCTTGGAGCTTTTTTTCACAGTATTTTACCATCTTTTATGGACAGCTTACAGGATTGCCCAATGGCTGTTATTATCATAAAAAATAAACTTGAAATTGAAGTTGTTTCTTGAGTTTATAGACCAAAGACAAGTTTTTACTGGCAGAACTACCTGATCTGTTAATTTCAATATTGTCTGCTGCCACTTTTTTATGTAAATAATTGTACAACCAGAGAAAATATTTCAATTCATATGGAAAATGTGCTTCGAAATTAAAAAAAAAACGAAGTAGCATATTTTTTTGGCTCAACGTAGTGTAAACGCGATAAAATAAGTTTGTGTATATTTAATTGATATTTTAAATAATCTCAAACTATCTTTACTTAAATTATGCCTTAATATTCAAATATATATTTTATTCTTAAATACAATTTCAGCCTTTACCTGCGGTACAAATTAAGGATGAACCAATGGATGCAGATGATGAATACAATAATACAAAACAAAACGATGAATCAGATGAAATGGTTGATCCAACTATGTTCTTGGAACGTACAGCCGATGAGGGCGAAGAACCCATTATGGTATGAAATTCGATAACACATTATATTTTTTATTTAAAACTCTATTAAAACTCTTTTTTATAATTTTCCAGGATTCTTCGACAGCCTATGATTATGATAACATCAGACCACCTGTTGATTTACCAGCTGGTACTGTTATACGCATGAGTACCAAAGAAGCCGCTTGCCGTGCATGTAATTTGAAATTTTCCACCCGAGCTAATGCCAGAAGACATGAGAAAAATCTGCATCCACATTTGTTTGATACACTGGAAGAGAATGACACAACGCTGAATAAACAAACGGCAGCACTGAATGCTTCATTGGAATTGCAGAGAGCTGTGGCGGCTGCTGTTGCTGCCGATGCCTGTAAACTGACCGGAAGTGGTGTAATAACACCACAAAAATATCGCCATGAAGTTGTTACCGCCTTCAACAACTCCTGTGAAGTTGGCTACGACTATGATAATCCTGAAAAATATCAACACTTACTGACAGACGAAAAAATCGTATTCCTCCAACAAAACGATGAATTTCTACGCCAATATCAGGCAATGACATGCCGTTGTTGTAATCGTTTCTATACCACCTACAAGAACTTTATGGCTCACATGCGTAAAAAGTACCTTACATTACCGCGTAATTGTTGTTTCAATTGCCTGAAACTGAACGATTCGAAGGCATTGTTTATATCGCATTTAAAGAAACGCAATTGTATAAATCTGCACAAGGTATTGCATAATCTTATGTCGAAAAATGCCAATTTTGCGGCAGCTGTTAGTGCCACTGTGGCAGCAGCACCCGAGAAACTGAGAGCCAAAGAGCTGTTGGTAAATAAAATGTATGAATGTAGATTATGCCCGAAAACATTCCGTTTGAAATTGGAATTCCGCACCCATGTCTATGATGAGCATGCCGAGGCCCAACGCAAGGATATCAACACAACACAGTGTAGTTTTTGTGGCATTGATATTGAAGATCCGGCTGAACGTAAACGTCATTATAATAATATGGATTGTATAGTTACGTTACGTTGTGTTACATGTGATACGAAACATGAAACGCAACAGAAATTTATGGAACACGTTCAGGAGAAACATATGGCCAATTTTGGTGAATCAACACAATTTGGAATGGCGAATGTGGATAATTCGCCGGGAAAGTCATCGAATATGGGAGGAGGAATTTGTGGTAAGTTGTGTTTTTAGTTTTAGATACTCAAAAAGAAGCAGAACGATTAACTAACTTCGCAGTCAATTTTTAAGTCTGTGAATCCAGCATCATCATCGGACACTATTTTACATACTTTTTTGTTGTTGCCATTGCTTTCACACTAACGTTTCTCCCTTTTTAATTCTTTTTTCAGGTGCCTCATCAACCGATGAATCCCGCAATAGTTTAAATGTTAGTCTTGTAAATATCAGCCAACCGAAATATTTTTCACGTATGCCCCAGGCATGCCCAATATGTGGCCAACAATATAATAACTATAATAATGTATTGCGACATATGGAATCCAAACATCCCGATCAATTACCGCAAACATATAAATGTGTTAAATGTGGTCAAGGTTATCCAAGGCTATCGAATCTACGTGAACATATGGTTAGTGTTCATGGTGCAGACAAGGCTCGTCACACTGGATTTGAATATATTGTAAATGCTGATGCTGTGAAGGCGGCCACCGATGGTGGTAGTTCGACGGGTAGCAACACACAATATACCGGGCGTTATGATTATGTTATGAAGGATTTAATGTCGATAACAAATGGTGGGACACTGGGTAAGGGTGGGCTTTGAAATAAAAAAAAATATTTTTTTTTATATACAAAGTTATGGACATGGTGTTCATGGTGCATTTATTAATAGGGAGTTTAAATTAAAGAATACAAATTAAAATATATTTCTTTGTTTCTTTACAGCTGATGATGATGCCGAATTTGAAAGTTCCGCGAAGAAAATGCGTTACGATGGCCACGGTTCAAATGGTGGTACACCAACTAATGCCAGCCCTCGTGAATGCCCCATTTGCAATGCTGTATTCGCCAACAACATTGGCCTTTCGAATCATATGCGTTCCCATCAAAGTGCAGCCAATAATAGTTTCACATCTAGTTCCAAATCAATAGGTGGTAATAGTTTATTGCATTCGACTCTCTCATCATCCGGAGGACCCCAGGCAATCCTTAAGAAATCCCTAGAACAGGCTGCCGATCGACGATTCCGTAGAATGCGCTGTCGCATCTGTCAGAGACGTTTCTCATCGAAGAAATCGTATCGTTATCATATGTTAAATGATCATCAGATACGTAATGTTCAGTTTATCAAATGTAAACTGTGTGATGCTGAATTTGCCTATGAGAAGGGTCTGAAGGTGCATATGTTTAAGATTCACAACACTTTGCTGAAGGATGATATGATCATTAAACAATATGAATGTGAAATATGTTCTATTGTTTATCGTACCGATGTTGAGTTGCAACATCATTTGGCCAATGTCCATAAGAAGCAGGGAGTTGCGGAACGTAGTGTTTCAAACGATGGTGATGACTATAATATGGATGAATCGGTTGGCGGTGGTGGGGCAGATGCTTCGGCAGCTGATTTGTCTGGTATATCTACTCCCGTTAGTGTTAGCGGCGGAGGTGAGGGCAGTTCTGGCCCGCTGTATTGGTATCAATGTAAATATTGTCCCTCCAACTTTAATACCAACAAAAAATTGGCCATACACATTAATTCCCATGATGAATTTGATTCCAATGATTATTCCTGCAAGGATTGTGGCAATGTGTATAGTGGACGTAAAAGTCTTTGGGTAAGTTTCCTAAAAAATAATCAATATTCCCTTGCCAATTTTAATTGATGTCTATCTCCCTTTCTTGCAGGTACATCGTTATAAAAAACATCCTCAAATACCCGAACCATCTGAATGTGTTTTATGTAAAAAAGTCTTCTTCGACAGTCAAATGTTGGATCATCACATACCGACATGTAATCGAAAACCCATTAATTCAGCTGCTAATGAAGGTGTCGCTGGCGGTGCACAACAGTCTTCTGCCTCGTCGGCTATTTATAAACACAAAACCGGCGATGATGAAGACGACGATGATGATCATTCACGCGATGCTCCCGATGCTGATACGATATCCACAAATTTACAGCAAACAGCAGCTGCTGGTGGTAGTATGAAAATTAAACTACCAGAAGTTGCCTGTACAATATGTGGTGCCCGTTTCACAGATCAGGAACTCTTCGCCAAGCATATACAAATGCACGAACAAGAGCTGTATACAGATAATCCTCTGGCGGCAATGTTCGACACCGGTCCGGCCGATCCCAATCAATTTTATATGGATCGGGTTAATGACAATGGCGAGTACGCATGTGATTTGTGTTCAAAGACCTTTACACAAATGACAGCATTTAAAGTACATAGGAAATGGCATTTCAGAGGTGATAACAAACAGGTGAGCTTTTGGACTTGTGCAGTGAGGCTTTGATGTAGTAGTGAACCAAAAAAAGAAAGTGCAACGCGCGTATTAGAAATGTCCTTTACATACACAAACACACACAAGAAATGTTTGGAATGCAACAGTTTTGGATTAAAATTTAATTGTTTGTCATGCCTCCTTAAGTTTTCAAGGAGGAAATAATCAAAATTGAATATCAAAATTTAATGGAAAATCCGATTGGATTTAAATTGCTCGTGGCTTTGATATAAAATTTGGATAAGATGTTTGGGCGACATTTTTTAAACGATATGACAATAACGTATTTGACAATAATGGAAATTAGGGATCACCCTTTTCAAATAGGCTTTTTAGTAACATATTATTTTCTCCAGACAATTTTTCTACTATGGAATCTACTTGTTTGGAAAGGTTTAAATATTCTCCGATTGATTTGAAAATGTACCATTTATGTTCGCAAGTTTGTTGAAATCTTCGGCATACCTGTCTCATATCTGATTGAATTGAATAACCGTAGTGTTGACAGATTAATTCATAAACATTCTTATACAACTGAGCTTCAACTCGAAATTCTTTTTCATAGGTTACTTATAGATCTTTATGAATAGATTGAGCGCCCTTTGAAATGACTTCTAATTATTTTATCTTACTGTTTTTCTTAATGTTTTTTTTTTTTTATTTCGAAGAGGATATTATGCTAATCTATAGTCTGTAGAATTAAAAAGAGACTCTCAAGGATTTCATTATTTAAAATTGTTCATAATCCATGTTAGATTTACATCACAAGCAATTTTAAATCCAATTTTTCTTATTCAATTTATAACACAATTTTTCAAAATGTCTTTAATAAAATCGAAAGAACAATATATATTTTTTTAAATTATTACAAATAATAACTACCTTTTATTTTCCATTCATCGTCTAAATTGTGCTAACCAAAACAAATGCAAGAATACTAGCATTTTTATGTGCATCAACCAAGAACCAATCAATGGACATTTTCTAACCCACTAATATACTTTTTTCTGGATAAGTGTTTTGCCTCCACACCAGTCACAAAAATTATGATGATCTTCGATGCACCACAATGTGATGGTTGCAACCATTCCAATAAGAATTTGTTTTCATATATTAGTTTTGTTTTTCTCTCCCCTTTTCTTGTCTCATTTCCAAACAGAACGATGCCGATCATCTATCAGCGAATCAAGTCCACAACAACAACAACAACAACAGCCTGCCGCACAGCAAATCAGCACAACAGAATCAACACCACCAGAAATCGAACAACCATCAACATCTACTGGGATTACAAGCGGTGGGTTTAATGCCGCGACATTCGATCAATTCTTCAACGTCGCATGTCCTGAACCGATCCCAGAAACGCAAACGAGAACTTAAATGCCAATATTGTCCGTCCACATTTATTAGCAATAACAATTTACGTCGCCATCTCTTCGAGTTGCATAAGAACGAAATTGGCAATCTACCCGAACCACCGAGAATTGAATGTGATCCACCGAATATGTGTCGTAAGTGTAATGTCAAATTTGAATCGAAAGCCGAATGGATAGAACATAAAGTGGGTGAGGCCAGGGTTATGAAACCATTTGGACCATTTCAATGGGGTTGTGATTTGTGTGGTGCCTATGTGTCACGCAAAGAGAAACTTATTAACCATCTGCATAATCACATGAAGGAGCAGGTGATAGTTCCTGTCGAATATAATGAAGCCGGACAACAGAAACCTCAGCCGCAACAAAACAACGATAATTCAGAACAACAGCAAAATCAATCCGCCCATGAAGTTCACGAATTTAAGAAGATTAAATTACCTGGCCTGCAGCAACAAAAGCCCATGGTTCAAATGGAGGATGATTCCCGCGACAGTGCCAACAAAGACCAATATGAACATGATGATGATGACGACGAAGATGGCGAGGACAATGAAAGAGAAGGACATGTGTCAAGTAACAACAATAACAATGACAATGTACGACAAAATGCCCAACAACAACAATCGTCCTATGCTGATGATGATGACGACGACGAGGAGGAGGAAGAAGAAGAATTGGAAGAAGAAATACTGGAGGGTGAATTCGATGATTTAGCTGTGGGTGCCCAACAGACTGTTGGTGGCGAAGAAGATGAAGAAGTAGATGAGGGCGATGATGATGACGATGGTGAGGATGATGATGACGATGAGGATGAGGACGACGATGATGATGACGAGGATGATGATGACGACGTGGATGGTGAAGAAGTCGATGAAGATGATCATGCAGCGTTGAGGCAAAGATCAGCACCACCAAACGTTCAACAATCAAAAGCGCAAATGCAACAACAGCAGCCAACACGTCGTACAAACGATTCCGAAATGGATGATGAAGATGATGATGACGACGACGATGATGACAATGATAGCGATGAGTTTGACGATGACGATGATGCCTCATCAACGGAAAATCGTAAACCCAATAATGTTGTTGCCAATGCCGTTGTTAAATCCCGTTTCTCCTGTGATCTCTGCCAAGTGTATTTCGATTCTCAGCCCGAGCTGCAGAAACACGTTAAAATGCATTTTCTCAATGGTCCCGGTTCCGTGACATTGACCGGCATTAAAACCTCCAAATCATCCTCATCCTCTAACAAGAGTCGCAGCAGTAGCAGTGATGTTTTAGCAGTCACCTCATCATAGAGCATACAAGAAATCATCGTACAACAACAACCGTATTTAAGAAAATTTAGAATATAATTAGAATTAATATTATTATTATTTTTTTTCTGTTAATGTGCCACAAAACAATCCACTAAACTAATTAAATTGTTTTTTTTTTCTATTCCATTAACAACAAAAATTTCCATGCAAAAAAGTTGAAAATGGAATTCCAAAGGAATTTTGAAAATTCCAAATTAAACTGGAAACAAAACATGTAACTGAATTTCTATCCACAATAAAAACACAACTATTCTGAAACTAGTTTTGATAAAAATTTTAAATTTTTATTTAAAAGGCCATGTTTGTTGTGTGGCTGCTCAAAGGGAATTTGCTGGCAATTCACAAAGCCATTGATTTTAACAAAACAAAAATCAGTTTTTTTTTAAATTTGTTCAAAATTATTCTTAATGTTGATTATATTATTTACTTTTTAATTCCATTCTTTTTAATACGATGTAAATGAATTGCCATAAATAAGTTTTGTTCTTTTCAATTAAAAAGCAAAAGAAAAGCAAATATTGTTTTTGTAATAATTAATGGACGGATTTTCCGCTACCATTCTATGTAATGTTCAAAATTAATACACAACGTTTTGGTTTACATTTTAATCGCAAAAATAATTATTATTTTTTCTTTTTGATTCTTTAGGCTTTTTGTAAATAAAAGATCGCCTAAAGCCAAACGAATCCAAAAGAAAAACCACCCAAATCTGGCAAACGTTACAAAATCAAATTATTGTTTTTGTTTTCTTTATCCATAGAATGTAGTTTCTTTCGTTTTGTATTTATTTTTAATTTAGTTTCTTTATACTTTCCACACATTTTACAAATATAGCTTATATATTATTTGGTCATTAACATACAATATTTGAATGTTGCCTAAAAGGGATATTGTAGTTTCAAAAAAACTACGATTTGAAAATCATGTATTTTTACTGGCCTTGTTATTTTTATTAGACCAAAGGATAAATTTATTTGAATAGATTTCCAAGTTGTGCCCAATTTAAATTATTTTTTTTCAATTCTATCATAATCGGATTATAATCAGTAGCCACAAACACAAAACTAAACATTCAATTATTTATAATTAAATATAAATACAAAAAATACAAATTAGCATGTAAGCTCTCCTTACACTAAATTTATAAAATAAACAAAAAAACTATGAACCATAAATAAATACATACATCGTTTAAATACTAAATATATATAGAAATTTCACAAATAAAAAATACAAGCGTAAGCTTATTATGTTAGAAAAAATAAACAATAATATTTTTGCAATTTATTTAATATCAAAATGGGAGGGGGTTTTAATTAACTATGTGTGCTCCGCAAAGTAACACTGGTTTAGCATATTCATTGGTATTTCAATCGATGGTTCATCCAATTTGATTTCGCTACGTCCAGGAACCCAACGAAGACTACCTACACATATCACACAAAGATACTCCGCAGTTATGGCCGTCTGTTATTTCCAAGTTTTTCAATCAGTTTGGTCACATTCTTCATGTTAAGAATCTGTCAGTCAAAAAGTAGAATCTAGAATAAGTTGTGATTATATTATTTTAAAAGTACATTTATGTACATAATGAATGGCATGTATACCCTGAGCGAACCCGCCATGTTTTTGTTTGGTTTGTTTCTTCGAAAATCATCCCATTTCTAGTCAGATGGGAATGATTATGGAAGATGATCAAAGGAATGGGTGTTTTGAATAACTGAGAAATGTTGTACCAGTGTACTTTTTATATAAAGACAATTACAACTTATCTGAACTGCCGCTTAGTTGACCCTATCCATTTTTACGTATATGATTGTCAACATCTAAAAATCCGATATGCCAAACTACAACCTATATATGGGCAATATTGACAATTGTTTAATATTCTATTTTCAACAAAATCGGCTTTTTTGTTTTCGTAGTACATAACCATACGCGATCAAAATTTTGGTTGCTGCTCGCAAAAGTTACCCAGGTTTTAATTTTGGGCATAAGAAAAAAATCTTAAAATTACGCCGTTAACTATATTGATCAAAAACGGTGATATATGACTTCTTTCGTAAAATATGAATATGCAGATACTATAATAACCCCGAAAAGTTGCACATTTTCGAGAAATATGAGAAAAATAATAAAGATATAGGAGATTACGTAATTATTTCCATTACATATATTAATGGCATGTATCAATCTAAAAATTAATTTGAAAAATATGTACATAATCTAAACACCACGACAAATAAAATGATATCAAAATCACACAAGTCTGTGTAGCGGTTTGTAAATTACAGCGATAACACAACAAGATATTGAGGAAAATTATTTGAAAATAATGTCATAAATTTTATTTTTTAATTTTATAAAAGAAATTTCAGAAACTAATGTTGGGGTTATTCTTCTATTTTACCTGAATTTCACCGAAAAATTGACATATATAAAAATAATCACTTTTTGTGTATAAGTATACACCTTGCGATAAATCTTGGCGTCCAATATGTAGGAATAAATCATAAAATAAAACTATATTATGAAATATCAATTTTAAATTGCATCTAAGTCGCGTAATGCTTAAAATCATTTGATGCGCATGTGGTTTCCATGAAATACTAAAGGTTTTTTTCCAATCCATGCATATTTTGCGAAATTTCATTTGACGTCGATGGTGAATATCGCCATGAGCTATACCAATTATTCTCGGACATCGACATAGTCAGACGGATCGAGCTGCAGCGAATACGTTGGCAAGGTCATCTTGTGAGAATGTATGAAGATGCCCCAGTTCAAAAGACATATAAAAGCCTGCCAAGTGATGGTTCACGCAGAAGGGCAAGGCCACGAATCCGATAGAAAGACCTAGTAGAAGACAACATCTCGGAAAATGTTCTTTCAAATTGGATGACATGCGCACAATACCGACTTTCCTGGAAATCTTTTTAAACCCTTCACCTTTGTGCATATGTTTATAACAGGCAAAAGGAAACGAGATAGACACATGGTTCCTTTTGAGAATATGCATAGAATCACTTTCTAAGTCGATTTATGCACGTCCGTCCTCCGTCCGTCTGTCTGTCCATGTTAAATTTGTTTGTAACAGGCAAAAGGAAACGAGATAGACACATGGTTCCTTTTGAGAATATGCATAGAATCAACTTTCTAAGTCGATTTATGCACGTCCGTCTTCCGTCCGTCTGTCTGTCCATGTTAAATTGTAAAAAAAGTACAGGTCGTATTTATGATCCGAATTGGAAAACAATTGGCATAGGTCACTTATTCGGCCCAAGGGCGAACCATATTGAAATTGGAAAAAATCGGTTCAGATTTAGATATAGCTCCCATATATATATATATATATACACTGCGTATCATAACTATAGACGCACCCTTAATTCAATTGGTATGTTAGTTGACAAATAAAATGGACCCATTAAGTTATTGTTCACAATAAAACGATCAAAAACACATATTATTCAACAAAAATAATTAATTTATTCTTTATGGTTTCGCCGAATTCTGCCCTTTCAAAATTGCTGGTGTTGCATAACTATAGACGCACTTTTACAAAATTAGAAAAAATTATTTTTTAAAACTTAAATAAAATAAAATAACTTTTATAAATAATGGGTAGGGCCTCCCTTATTTTGAATAAGTTCAAAAATTTTATCCATCACACTGTTGATCAAAATTATTCGCAAGTCTTCATCGATTGACCGCCATTCATCGATAATCACTTCTTGGAAATAAAATAATGTTTGGTATTGGCTGTTTTCTGCAAAGACACGACGAGTCAAGATTCCACACATGTTCTCGATCGGATTCTGGTCGGAAATTTTAATATTTTTCGATTTTAACCATACTTGAGTATGGCCACTTTTATGAACTGGTGCGTTGTCCTGCTAAAAAACGAGTCTTTGATTGTTGCTGCTTTCCCAAAATGGCAATAATTTGTCTTCTAAGACTTGAACGTACTCCATTGAATTCATCCGACAACATGGAAATGTCAAATAAAGCATTCCGTGGCTATAAAATGTTCCCAAGGTGGCGGTTACCGAAATATCGTTATTTCTTAATAGAATATTTCGGTGGCGGTTCCTTAATGGCCTTGGGAGCATTTTATAGCCATTATTTGACATTTCCATGTTGTCGGATGAATTCAATGGAGTACGTTCAAGTCTTAGAAGACAAATTATTGCCATTTTGGGAAAGCAGCAACAATCAAAGACTCATTTTTTAGCAGGACAAAGCACCAGTTCATAAAAGTGGCCATACTCAAGTATGGTTAAAATCGAAAAATATTAAAATTTCCGACCAGAATCCGATCGAGAACATGTGTGGAATCTTGACTCGTCGTGTCTTTGCAGAAAACAGCCAATACCAAACATTATTTTATTTCCAAGAAGTGATTATCGATGAATGGCGGTCAATCGATGAAGACTTGCGAATAATTTTGATCAACAGTGTGATGGATAAAATTTTTGAACTTATTCAAAATAAGGGAGGCCCTACCCATTATTTATAAAAGTTATTTTATTTTATTTAAGTTTTAAAAAATAATTTTTTCTAATTTTGTAAAAGTGCGTCTATAGTTATGCAACACCAGCAATTTTGAAAGGGCAGAATTCGGCGAAACCATAAAGAATAAATTAATTATTTTTGTTGAATAATATGTGTTTTTGATCGTTTTATTGTGAACAATAACTTAATGGGTCCATTTTATTTGTCAACTAACATACCAATTGAATTAAGGGTGCGTCTATAGTTATGATACGCAGTGTATATATTTGTCCGATTTAATGTAAACGGTCCCTAAATATCTTTAAATTTGCACGAAATTTGGTATAACCTAATGATTTAAGTCTAGAATGATCTGTGTTAATTTTCCGGAAAATCGGTTCAGATTTAGATATAGCTCCCATATATATTTCGTCCGATTTATATCTATAATATCCTTCGATTTGCACGAAATTTTGCATAGTGTACTGAATTAGGTCTAGAACGAT